ACTGCACAGAAGATTACAGGGAACTACTTGAGCTAACAATTATATTTCTAGGTGCCACTTCACCTCGAGGCACATTATTCTGTTATCCAGACATTCCATCGTGCTAGATATCAAAGGCACTTTATTCCCCAAAAATATTTAGGTTTTGTGAACAGTTTAAACTAAGTGCTTTGGAAAAAAACGGCATTTAGAGACATAAGTATTTTTTTAGTTCAAGTTTATGTTTCGGCATGGTTCAAAGTTCCATTCGCTCAATGAATGATGATCGCAACTTTGTAAAAAGCTTTCTCAATATCCCGAGTCTGATATATCAAGAGCGGCAATACATAAGTTTTTTTAGGCATTTGTGGTACCTAACGCCTGAAAGTATTGCCTTTGTCTTTTTTGATCAAATGTTCCGATACCAGTGAAATTAAAAATGATAAGAGGCTACAAAAATTGTAAATGACGCCCAAGATGGTAATAAAACGACTTTGTCTCATCCGAGACGATAATTTCTTCGAAATATTTAATATTTCAAGTGATTTTCTAAATTCGCCACTAGATACAGAGATTACCAAGAGGGATTAAGTATTGTAAACAATTTGAAAGTTGTTAACGATGTTGTTAAAAGAGGAGTTATAAATAAGTGTAAAACTAGAAGACATGTAAGTCCGGTAGACTTCTTCTTATAGCTGGCTGAGCTGCTTATAAAGATCATCCAGTGTACTTATGTCGTTCGGCAGAAAACCGCAGCACAAATTACGCTACGGCCTCTTTTAAGACGTATCTGCCGAAACGACTTTTATATAGTTTATCTGGTAGTTACATCGCTGCCACCAAGTCAGGAAAATAATGAAAAAGTCTCTCCTTCCGCCTGACCTCGGAAATAAGGAGTTTAGGCATGTGGATTCTGCCGCTGCTTAAATCGCGCGGTCTTTCCAGTCTGTTGCACAAGAAAGGAGGTAAAGTTTTTAAGAATAAAATGAAAAGTATTTCTATCTCTTTTTATCCAGCACCTGTAGGCTACGACACCATTACTCGTTCATTTTAGTGTCGCTCGAAACGTTCAAGGTTATTTGTAGAAATAAATAAGTTCCCTGACGCACGCATACAAAAGGGACAAAAATGACGTATGTTGCTGCAGTCAAAGTGATTAAAAAGTCAAAGAAGTTCGCTGAGAAGTGGGTGAAGCGGCACAATAAAAAACACTGATCATCTTGAAGGTGGAAAAATCAGAACGACGTGCAACAAACATGAAAGAGGGGTTGTGCTCATGTTCAAGCGACATTTGTTCGAGGTAAAATTATTATATCCTACGAGCTCCAAACCCCTGCTTAGCGCAACCATATAGAAAGGCCTAAGGTGGGAGAGCGAGTCAGATGAAGCGAATTTCTGGGCGTGGGTTCGGGTGAAGCGTGCCTGGTTAGCGAGTAGTACTGATTTCATTCAGGACACCGTCAAACACTCTGTAAAAGTGAATGTCTGCCAAGGCTGGAAGGAGGAAAACGGCATGGCCATCATGGATTGGCCTTTCCAATCTCCCAAAGCAAGCCCTATCGAAAACGTTTGGGCCATTATGAAAGACCAGCTTGCAGGAAAGCCACTTTACGATTTGAAGCAGCTTTCAAGAATTATTGGAAAGATTTGGCGTGCTTTTCCCACAAATTACGCTGAAAATTTGGAAATGTCTTGTAAACTTTTGAAGAAATCTCGCTTCCTTTATTGTGGACCAGATTGTATGTGTAATTGAAAGTTTTTTACACATTTACTAGCTTCAGAGTAAGTTACTGAAGGAAGAAGGACGATATAACAAACACAATTTAAACTCAAATGTTGAACATATAGCAACTTATTTTCAATGCAACAGTGACCAGCATCTACCCAGTATCTACCCATACAATATGTTCCTCCTAAATGTTAGACTTCAGCTTTGGAATCTCCATCTCCACTCAGCAGTTCAAGAAAAGGAGAACACTGTATTTTTTTAATAACTTTATTATAATACTACTATGTACTACTATGATACTACTAATTGAAGCGTTCGGGGGAACAAGGTACATAAGACACATTTTCGCAAAAACTGAGATATCTCGACACAGAATCTGGCCAGAAGAAGGTCCTATGCCACATAAAATAAAGTTCTGAAAACTACCGAAAGATGGCGGTACTGCACCTAAAAGTTCTTGTTCTGTAGTCGAAATATTTAGATTATTTGCAGTCAACAAGGTCACAAGCCGCACAAATTTCATCATGGCTACCAAGCGACAGTTGTCATATAAACGAAAAGTGTTTGATAGTGACTCAAATAACAGCGATGGTGAAAATATTTTCGACTCAGACGATAGCGTGAAGGACAAAGATTATTCCCCAACTGACAGCAGTTCTGATTCTCTATCAGAAAATGGATTATCGGTAAATAATTAATTTTGTGGCTTATAACCTTACTGCCTATTTTTTTGTGTGGCATGTGCCATTTATTTCTGTAAATGTATTTTGTTATATTTTTCAAATATACGTTGGTTTTATTTTTTTTATTTTAATATAATTATAAAACCAATACATTCTCACTAAAATGCCACATATAATTGGAACGTAAACTATCTTGTGATCGATAATAACCTAAAAATTTTCAATGTGGCTTATGACCTTCTTGAGTACGATATTTATTTTTGTTTCAGTCATCTGAAAATGATTCAGAAGATAATTTGACAAGTAAGGCTTTATTAGAATCTCAAAACTTGCGGGCAATAGAGGATGAGGTTGTGGTAGCAAGAGGTAATTTACAAACTCCCGAAAAAGCCATTCATTCTCGTTGGCGCAAAACAAACTTTGAGTGCAGAAAGAAAGAAAAAGCAAAAACAAAACGAAATCGAGGCCATGCTTATGAAAATAGTAGGGGAAAAATGGTTACAGACAGAAAGATTGGTCCCCAATGTACGTGCAATAAAAAATGTAGAGCGCAATTACAGGGAAAGGAAGTTAACATTTTTAATTCATTTTGGGATTTAGGTTCATACAGAGAGCAAAACACTTATCTTTTTGGATCTATCAAGGCCATACCTAAGAAGCGCTCGTACAGAAAAAAAATAAAAAAACGTGAATCGTCTAGAAAAGTAACATACCAATATTTTGTGAAAGTAAATGGAATAGACGTCCAGTTATGTAAGCAAGAGTTTCTGTCCGTTCATGGATTACAGAACTCTTCGAAACGAGTCCGGCTTATTTGTAACCAAATATTTAAAGGAAGAAGCGTCCCAAAAAGTGACAAACGCGGGAAACATCACAATAGACCCAACAAAACACCATTGGAACAAATACAATCGGTCCATAATCACATCAGAGCTTTTCCAAAATATGTAAGCCACTACAGTAGAAAAAAGAATCCTCACAGAGTATATCTGAATCATGACATGAGTATTTCTAGGCTGTATAAGGACTTTTATATTCAATGGTGCAAGGAAAGGAATATTGTACCAGTTAAAGAAGACAAATATAGAAGGATATTTTGTAATGAATATAATATAGGGTTTAAGTTACCAAAAAGTGACACATGTCACACTTGTGATTCTCTACGTATTCTGATAGAAACCGCAAATAGTAAACAAAATGAAGAAGAAAGTAAAAGATTAAAAATACAGTTAGAATTACATCACAGAAAAGCCGAAGAAATGCAAAATAATTTAAAAGAAGAAATAGAATCTGCAAAAACAAACAACAAAAAATTAGTTATTGTTTTCGACTTACAACAAACTCTCCCAACTCCAAGTCTTACTGTTGGTCCAGCGTTTTATTTAAGAAAGGCTTGGACCTATAATTTGGGAATACATGATTGTACAACGGGAAAGGCAACCATGTTTATGTGGACAGAAACAACAGCCAAAAGAGGGAGTGAAGAAATAGCCAGCATTTTACTTACATACTTTTCTTCTCGAGAAACAAATGAACAAAATGAGCTTGTTATTTTTACAGACAATTGTGGGGGACAGAACAAAAATTGGCTCCTAATGTCGTTATGGTTACAACTTGTAAGGGAGAAAAAATTTAAGTCTATTGAACATCGCTTTTTGATATCAGGACACACGTACTTACCTTGTGACAGAGACTTTGCGGTGATAGAGAAGCATAAGCGGTTTCTAAAGCAAGTATATTGTCCAGAAGACTGGTACGAAGCTGTAGCCAAATGCAAACGAACTAATCCATTTAACGTCGTTGTTATGCAACAGGAAGATTTCTTTACATTTAGCAACATCACCATGTTAAAGAAAAATATCACTGACGATAAGGAGCCATTAAATTTCAACATGGTGCGATGCTTTCGTTTTCAATCAGAGGATCCAAATGCAATGTTTATAAAACATATGCTTAATGGTCTCTTTAAAAAGGTGAATGTTGGAAAACTGGGAAACAAACTCAGTCTTCACCGCAATGACGTTTTAAATACTCTGAATCATATATATAAGGAGCCTATAAAACTAAATAACAAGAAAGTAACCGATTTAAAAAAACTTCTGCAGTATATTCCTCCAATAAACCAAACTTTCTATTTAAACATTTTTGGTAACACTGAAAATCAGATCACCGATATGAAAATCAGGATGAAGCAGAATGTATAGACGGAGATGACACTCTGAGTTGGAAAGATGATGAATAAGAACGATTGTTTTTGTTTCTCTGTTTGTAACAACATATCAAAGAATAACATTGTTTATTTTCTTATGAAAGTCGATAGGGCATCCAAGTGCAATGTTCCTATATTCAAAGAATATTTATTTTACTTATATGAAAAAGGCACAAGCCACATTTTTTACACAAATCTTTAATAAATTTATAAAAAAAACGATTTGATTTTTTTAGCCTTAATATCATATATTTTTTGGTAATATAACAAAATTCCATGAAACTTTCAATTAAAAAAATTGAATTTGATTTAGGGATTTAAATGAAATCTTTAAAGTTAATTTTCTCGTAATGTGTTAGATGTGGCTTATGTACCTTGTTCCCCCGAACGCTTCAATTGTAAACTTGAATTAATTACAATATAGAGTCTAGCTAGACTCTATCAGATTCTTTATTTTAAATTAGATGTATGATTAACACTAACCTTTACACATTCCTGAAGACATCTATCAGCGCATTACACACCTCCGGAATAGTCCTTGAAATTACTTGCTTGAGCATGGGTCAGCAAATGCATAAGGAAGCTACGACAATAAAAGGGTAAATTAAAAAAAATATATTTTTATAGCAGGTTTGAAATAAGAAAAAATTTGAGCCAAATTCCCTATATTGTATAAAGTCCCTAAAGTAACTGGTGATATCAAAAATTAATAGTCCAATCTGAAAGGGTAGTATTTGTAAGGGTTAGGATTATTTTTCAATAGTATCTTTTGGGGTTGGTTTGGGGGTTACATCGTGGGCACATTTTCGGTAACTACCTACTTTATTTAAACAAAAAAGCTATTATGGTTGCAGATTGTTTTGGAGTAACAGTTTCTGAGGTAATTTAATGTGAAGATATTGCAACACTCCCATTTTACTAGTAGAAACATTGGACTTTTTCTCTAAAACTTCGGCAAAAATGCAAATTTCAATATTTTTATTAAATTCTACAAGATAGCCACACATTTACAGATTAAAATGCCATTTCCTTTTTTTATTTCAGATGAACTGGAAATTTGAAATCGAAAAAACTTTTTTTATCAGAGCTCTGTACAGCAGATTCTTGTCCTTATTTTACCTTAAAAAATTTTTTGAACAACGTAGTGTTTTTCTGGTTCTATGAGAAAATTACTAAAAAATAGCTTTCCAAGTAGAAGACTCCCTTAAATCACATTATTTCGTCTATTAAAATTAAATACAGTTAAATATATTATAAGGGGCAAGAAAATAAACATGTTACCTACAGTACTTATTTTTTTTTTATCCCATTCATACAGGGTGATTCAGGTTTAATCTTAACTTCAGGAATCGATAACACAGGTGAAAATAATGTTCATTCATCATATAAACTTATTTCCTAAATGCATCGTTTCGGAGATAGAGGGCGTTGAAATAGAATTTTTTCCCGCTTTTCCCTCACAACTTTTAAACCATTCATCCGATTCAGGTGAAATTCGGAACACATACACTCCTTCAGGTGTGTTCCCATTCAACTAACAATTAACTAACCGTTTATACAAGGTGATTCATTAACAATGGGAAAGTCGGAAGCTGAAGATACTACACGTGAAATGGTGGCGACTGGTGCAAATATGCCTTATCCAAAAGTTGATAGTTTCGGAAATACAGGGTGTTGAAAGTTAAAATTTTGAATTGTTTTTTTAAGATTATTCTGAAAATATGTAGGTTAGGAACTTGATAATTTGTGAAACTATATTTTTTTAGGCGACGATTAAGATGCGTGCTGTTATTTCAGCATTGCTCGTAGAGGGCGCCACTTACGACCAATTTTACCGAAAATTTAGTTAATAGCTTTTTACCCTGGATGTCTGACATGAAACTTGTATGTCAAAACCTGAAAGAGCAATCATTTTTCCATTGATTGTGTATTCTTGTTTCATTTCGATATCTTGATCCGTTTTCGAGAAAAATCGATTTAACGAACACTATGTTTTGATAATACGAGAAATTAAAAGCGAAATAAACCAACAACAATTAACAATAAAACAAATGAAATTCGTAATAATGATTTAAAGTCAGTGTTCGAAGAATCCACCGTTGAATTGACCGTTGATGCAGTTTTTCCAAATCGATGGATTGGCCATGAAATCATTTTTGCTTGGCCATCCAGAAGTCCGGACTTCAATCCTCTTGATTTTTCTATTTGGTCTCGAATGAAAGTTATAGTTTGGCTCGTGTGAAGAGTTGTGGCAAAGAATACAAATCGCTGCCAACGAAGTCAGACGCAATCCCGATATGTTGTTTCAAACTCGAAGATCTCTCAGAAAACGTNTGGCAGTCAAAAGCTCCAGACTTGACGCCTCTTCATTTCTTTTTATGGGGAGCTGAAAAATAAATTGTATAAAACCAGGCCCCAGAACAGAGAAGATTTATGTAATAGAATTAGACAAGCATGTTGACAAATAACACATCAGTTGAGGAGACAAGAGGAGACGAATTGAACAGTGTACGCCAAACGATGGTGGACTAGTAGAAAACAGTAATATTTAAATTTTATTTTGTTGCGAAAACTCATTTCTGGTATATTAAAAAAAGTATATCTTATTGTGAGCACCCTGCATGAGTGAAATCAATGAAACTCAAAAAATACCTTGAAAATATTTCTCAAATCCAAAAAGCTATCCATTTCTTTCTTAAAAAAATGCCTAATATGTTTTTTAATTTTTGAGGGTCTTTTCTTAATGATAGTAAGCCGTAGAAAAGATCGCTTGTGAAACACACTGTATGTAGAGCAGCAAAAGACTGGTGGTGGAGCACCCCCGAAACCTTTAAATAATTTAGTAAAATTATTGCACGTTTTGTCGGAAGTTGATAAAACATTTGCCACGACATTTAGAAAGCATACATAAAAATGAAGAAAAAGTAAAAGAGTTATCGGTACTTGCATATAACAGTCCTTGTTTCTATTCAGATCTACACCTAAACATAATAAAATTGGGCCCTCATCTACAAGTAATGATGATACAAACAACCACTTATTTCTAAAATTGTTTTGTCTTGCAATTGACAAAGTTCTTTTACATATGATTGCAATCTACTATCAACCGCCGTCAATTGTGGAAAGTAAGGGCTTTATTAATTACACAAAGAAGCTTAACCCGCATTATGAGCTACCAAGCAGAAAACACATAAGTTATGGTTCAAAACATGTATGAAAAGTCAAAAAGTCAAGATCATGCTAACGGAAGTTGCACACGTTGCGATCACAACACAGATATATGGACGTCAAATAGCAAGAAGCCTATATTTCAGTGACGGTTCATTTTGTTTATAATGATCAAATACTTTCGCCCAGAAATGGAAGACGCTCACCATATTGGGGAAAATATTGCACGAGCGTTTAAATCTATTTTTGAAGACTGAAATATTGAAAATAAAATCGTCACAGCGGTGTCTGTCAATGGTGCAAACATTAAACGTGCTGTGCATCAGATGAACAAACACCATCATCCTTGTGTCGCACATACGTTGAACTTAACAGTAAGTGAATGTTTAGGGAGTATCGCATTGCTGGACAAAATTATTAAAAAGTGCCGTACAGTAGTTGGACATTTTAAGCGTAGCGTTGTTGCGACTCAAACTGTGAAGGATATGCAGAGACAAATGAACTTACCCATACTCAAAGTGAAGCAGGATGTAAGAACAAGATGGAACTCATGTAATTATGATGGAGAGACTTTTGAATACGAAAGCACCATTGTCAGCAGCCATAACGTCCCTGAGTCACCCGAGTTTTTGGGTGCTGCCGAGTGGAAAATAATAGCGGATTGTGTGTTGAAGCCTATTGAAGTTATAACCACGGTCCTATCAGGAGAGAAATATCCAACTTTGTCCATGGTATCCTTTTTAATTAAGGGCCTACAAATTTCTCTTAGAGATAAAGTTGTGGCTACAGATATGGGACATCAACTTAAAGCGTCTCTACTAGAATCCATATCTAGGCGACATGGAAGTCTTGAAACTAACAAAATAGTTTCAAAAGCTACAATATTAGATCCACGTTTTAAAAAATTGGCATTTGGCCTTTCAGGAAATGTTGATAATGCCCAAGCGTTTGTATAGGAAGAGCTAGTTCCGATGCAGAAAACACACTAATTCGTCAGCATATATCTTCCTTTTCTACCAAGGTAACATTATTTCGGTAAAGAATATCAGTACCTCGATTGCAGACTAAATTTAAAAATTATGTATGTGTTTAAGGAAAAACATCCTAGCAGTAAATTTAAATATAGCTAATAAACTTTGACCTTCACTTTGGTCGTTCACAGATAGACACAAGTTGTCAATGTGAAGAATTTTCACTCAAAATTAAAAGTAACTCATTAGGTGAACCTGCCAAAGTGGCAGCGATTGCAGAAAAAATGATACATGAACGAAGAGCCAAGAGATTTTACACTTCATTGAAAAATACTATTGCTGAAGTTAAGGAAACAAACAATATTACTGCTATAACATTTGGTTTTATGCAGAATTTGCAATTACCACTCGTTCCTGTACCAGACACTTTTTATTTAACTCAACTTAGCGTTGGTGTTTTTGGAATTCACGATTTAAAAACTGGAAAAGTCTCTATTACGTTTATCATGAAGGCTTAGCTGCGAAAACACCAGATAAAGTATGTTCATTTTTAATGGACTGCATTACGAACTATGCAGATCCACATTCAAAACAGCGTAGGCTTTTTTTTAGATAACTGCTCGGGCTAAATCAAAAATCACACTTTAGTAAGGTTTTGTATGGCACTTGTTCAGATTAAGAAGATTTGATAAAGCGCAACAATTTTTTTCGATTTGGGGACACTTCCCTGCAATAAGGATTTTGGGATCATAAAAAGATATTTAAGAAAATTTGAGAGGATATACTCAGTACACGAATATACTGAAAAAATTCTACAATCCAGTCAAAGCAACAAATTTGTTGTAAAAGAGGTGTCTACGCAGGATATATTTGAATGGAAAAAATAGTGGCCAATTTACTATAAAAAGACAAGTCTATCTAATGAAAATACCGGACACCAAAATTGGGCAGTTGATTAAATGGGTTAATGAAGAGAATATTCCATTTTATCAAAATTTGATCGACAGTTGGGATACAAAGCCTAGAAAGGTTAAAGGAAAACGTAAAATACATATTTTTCAAAGTTAATATGTTTTGTGACAACTAAATAAATATATTTTTCAAACTTTAAATGTTTTATTTTACCACAATATTTAAAAAAATTTAACTGTCTGGGACAAGTCTAGAAATTAAGTTGTAAATTGATTAGAATGTATAAAAAGACACAGGAAAACGTTATCTTTAAGTGATAAAGTGAAAATTTTTGACAAACTGAAAAGTGGTTCAAGTGCTGTGTGTGTTGCATCTGAATATGGACTAAATGAGCAACTATCCGATACATAAAAAAATGGAAAACAAAATTAGAACTTCGGTACAAACTTCAACTAAATACACTCTAAAAGCCGCTTGTGTAAGCCGTAGAAATCCCTATTTAGAAAAAAAAATGGAAAGCATGCTCAATCTC